GGTGGTGGTGGTGGTGGTGGTTGAAGTGGAGGCGGGGAAGCAAATTGTTTAAAAAGAAGAGAGCACCAGACGGTAAGAGAATGTAACAACCACTATCGATTTTCCTTCGTCTTCACTGCTCGCACGACTACTGTTCTGTTAGTACTGCTCCCAAATCCGGTGAGTGTTTAGAATGGTAGACATCGACACTTGACAGTCTTAAATTTCCCAAATTACCCTCTTTCCCAAACCGTAATATTAAACTAATACTCCCATTTATTAAAAAATTAATAACAATCGCCGCGTTAATATATAGGTCTCCCACTTGTTGTTAGTCACGTGAGAAGATCCAATTGTTTTTTTTCTAGTAGATATTTTAATTATGAGATGCATCCACACAAATTTTACTTTATTTTTTACTTAAAAATATAATTAATTTTAATTATTTATAATAAGAATTTAAAATAAATTATTAATATTTTGTGTAAAAATTATGTATAAAATTTATATTTAAATTGATCATATCTCTTTAAGGATTATTAAGATAGAAACACAACAATGAATGATAGTTTTTTTTTTTTTTAATAAATCTCTTCACTTATTTTATGAGTCAAATTAGGAGGCCTTAATGTGAAAAGCTAAGCTCTTAAATGATGTTATATATCACCTAACAATTGACAATATCACATGCGTATGTCTGACTTATATATATGGGGACGAGTTATGTAGAAAACAGATATAATTACATCAAATAAATGGGTTGTATGGTTTTGGTATATTGATTATTGAATTATATAATAAAGTATGGTCTACTCTTTTTCATAATTGCTCTCCACCTATTTTAACAATTTAAACATAAAATTTTTAACTTCAAGACATCTTTTTGAGGCATCAATATAAGAGTTACAGTACCTCTTATACGGTTACATTTTCATTTATAAAAAATAACTATATAAATATAAAAATAAAAACGATTCACTGATATATAAATTTTATACATCATATTTATATAAAATTATAACTATTCATTTTTTTATTTTTAATGGATGAGATTTATTATAATTTTTTAGATAAAATATAATTATATTTAATAAATACAAATAAATTTTAATTATTAAAAATAAAGAGATAAATAATTAAAATTTTATATAAATATAATATGTAAAATTTATGTATAAATAATCTTTACTCAATAAAAATATATTATAAGCACTCTATCTGATTTAGTTTATATGAAATTTTATAAAATTTCACACAGATTAAAAATATATATTTAATAACTTTAATTATAGGATATTGATCAACTAAGTAACTAATTTACCCTTTGGAACTTGAAGGAAAGAAATTAAGAAAAAGAAGAGGGCGAAAAAAGGGAAAATGTCGACGAATAAAAACCGCTGGAGGCAGAAGATGTGTAGAGGGGTGAAAAAGTTGGCGGGAAGTATAGTAGCCTAATTGTAGGAGACGAAAAAAGAGATCGGAAAGCGACGGCCAATTGGGCATGATAAAAATTTGCTGTATTAAGCAACATGCAGCTTTTTGGCCCCACTCATCACATGGTGAATACTGTTGCATGGTCCCAGGGAAACTGGGATTTTCCCCCCTTTTTTTGGTAAATAAAGAGCAACTGGAGATCGATTTAATCTTGACTTCTTTTTTATTTTCAATTAATTTTTTTTTAAAATGATTAATTATAATATTATAAATTTATAATATAATATATTATTATATAATTAACTATATTAATTTAAAATTTTATCCATAATAATTTATATATTTATTTTTTTAATCGATTTATAATTTAAAATGAAAGAATTCAAATCATAATCTTAAAGTTAAAAAATACATTTTATTATAAAATATAAAATTGTCACGCTACGAAATTCAAGTGCATATATCTATTTATATTTTTTTGAACATTTTAGCAAAGGACGGGTTTGAAACCTGCTCAAGAGAAGCAGGAATGTACTGATTAATTGACTAATGTCAGTGAGTTTCAAGGGCCAAGTGCGCATATATCTATTTATATAATATATTATAATTATATAATTATAATTTTCTATAATATTGTACCTATAATATTTCTGCTAACCTTTTTTTTTGGGTGGGGGCAAAGTTCTTGTTATTCCTTCCTTTCACAAATGGCAATTGCACCAAAATCTAAACTAAAGAAAAATGTCAAAAGTAGCTGTTGTTTGTTGTGATGCAAAGAGAAAAAGACGCTTCAGTTATGTCATGTGCCCTTAGGCTGTCCCTGTACTTTTCCAACTTGGGGTGGCAATTGGCGTCGAACCTAAAAAGTTGAGATGTGGTACCATTAAGATCAATAAAAAAAAATTTTAAGATTTACGGAAAAAAAAAATTACATCATTACACGCGCATATTTAAATTTACTCTTGGTTGAGACATGACTCAATGAGCTGGCTTCACAAAATACTAATTATCTTAGGCCGAAAGAAATGGAGAAAAGGGGTGCATAGTGCCTAATTAGACTCATAGTTTCATGATCTATACTAATAACTAACCCCCTTATTCAACTAATTTTTTCCATATTCAAAATTTGGTTTAGTAATTTGGGTGGTGGACAGGTAATATAGAAGACCCGTGGCAATGGTTATGGTTATCTTTATTTTTTTCTTTTACATTTTATGGTAGGTTATATGAAAAATAATAATTCTTTTTTTTAAAAATTTTTTTTATTTGACTTAAAATTTGGATTTGAGATTTAAAATTTAAAATTTAAAATTTAAAATTTCAAAATTTTAATCAATTGAACAATCTACTAAGCATCATAATTTTTGTTAATAACACTAAAAATTATTAAATTTTTATTTTAATTTAATTATTAAAAATAATTAATAATTAATTAAATAATTCATATATATTATTTAATATTTTAAAATTAATTTACAAATAAATATTTTTAAATGTTATAATTAGCTGTTAAAAATTTATAAATTAATAAAATTATAATTAAATTGATAACTTTAAGAAAATTTATGGTGACAATAACTTTAGGCGAGACCCATGAGTCCCTCCATTTCCGGTCCCATACAAAAACTTGAGGCATAGCCTTCTTAGTTCACATTAATCAGTTGGTTTCTCTGATGAATTTGATGTTAACATTAACGTAATGTGGTCGTTAAATACCTCCCGATGTCAATGCATTTAATCTAACTCATCAATCCAAAAAGGTTATAATGAGAACCAAAAGAATGTGCATGTTTTCAAGAGAGATGGGGGGTCGTTAGCTATGTGATAAGTTCTGATGGCTGCATTTAACCATTCATTAGATCTGTTCAGATTCTCGAATTAGTGGATATGTTCAGACTCTTAAATAAGTGGTGGCGAAGGCTTAGCTCTATACTTTGGCAGTATAGTCATGAGGATTAAGAGATTAAATCTCACTAAAACTTCAAATTTAAGCTCCATTAATTAAGAATTTTCATATTTACTTCATTCCCGATAAAGAAATTATTGTCTACTGAAATTTGCTTGATCGATAATGATGATGCTTTGTTTCACTGCAAAAATATGTCAAAGCCAACTAACTGAAGTTGTGACAATTGCATTTCGATTGGGATATGATTAAACTGATCACCTCAATTGAGTTAATTAGTGGCCTGGAATACCCTTATCCTCTTACTTGAGCAAATCTTCAATATAATGAGTATACTAAGCATATTAATTAGAAGTTCCTATGTTACTTTATATTGCCAATTTGTATGAAAATAACACTTTTCTATACTTTAGATATCTCAATATGATATTCAACTTTTAACGTGATATGAAAAGTTAAG